GAAAGAATTTTTACGGCAAATTATCAAACAAGCAGATACGTAACAGTCTTCATTAAAAGGGGTACTGTTGCCTGAGTTTTGAATTATTGTAATAAAATGAAATTCGACGTTGCTAAGCAGCTATTTCATGCAGAATAAACCACATCTCTTCTTTAGCTAGTAGCAAAATTGACAAACACACAAAGATAAAACAATAAATACAATAGAGGTTTAAATAGGTAAGTGGAGGAGGAATGAAATGTTAATTAAACAGGACCAGGAACGACTGATCAACATCACCTGTCAACTCGGTTCCACTTATAACATAAGAAAACAATCAGTGACTTGTAATCACATGTTTCAAATTATTACCAATCAATTGCGAGGTGCAGTGTTTTAGGACAGTCAACAACCACAACCCAGAAAAAAAGTATGTATTTTTATGTCTTAAGCGAGAAGACTTTTGCCCGTTTGTACGAAAATGTTTGAATAAATACTATTTGTGTATATGAAAGGTTGAACCCACGCTGAAAAATAAGAAAGAAAAAAAAAAGAGATTGAAATACACAACATTTCGGCTGTGTAGCCTCTCTTCCCATTTACTTTTCAGCGTGGAATTAACCTATACTTTTGCAGTCCACATACTGACGCAGCTCCTCAGTCTAACATATTTACGAACACGCTGTTTACGTCATTTTAAATTTTAATTGCTGTTACTATATTACTCAATAGCAGTAATGGCCGTACAGTATTTTTATTTTCAACTTTGTACTTTCTGCGCCCCACAGTTTATGTACCAGGAATCTATATTCTCGAGTATGACGAGCGAAAATGAGTGGGTTGATATAGCGTGGTTCCAGGTGACACTCACTGCTATCATAATTATTACCACCCCAATAATCAAAGGCTAAAGAACCATAACATGATGTTTTGAAGTGTCCGAACTTCTGGCTGAAAATAGAGTAAGATAAATTTGTATTGTATCTCCACACTCCACAATTCAAATCACCTGCCTTTACATAGGTGAGTTGAGTTGGTGATGTAAAAGTTAATATGAGAACCTAAGGCATTGTGTATTTGCCATTCTTTAACGAATGGATTCTTTTAATTATTGATACGTCTTAACTGGAGCAAGAATCTCCAGTCAATTGTGTTAATAACACCCCTGTGAACAATACTTTTTCTTTAGGGATACAAAATACTGTGTGTGTGTGTGTGAGGGGTATCATCAGTGGTAATTATCTCAACGGCCTGTGCTTTCAAAATAAATTCAACTCTCTTCATTACAAACTTTGGAGAGCTGACAAGCCCCTTTAAGCCTTTCTATATGAAAAATGAAACATTTTGAAGAATGAAGCTTCTGATGATGAATGTATAAGAATTACACAGGCCTGAAAAGTTAAAATTCATAAAAGTTGATTTGGTTTTAATAACAGATTTTCCATAATTCAGCTACGCAGATTTCCAAAATATTGTTCATTTTTTCGATCATGTAAGGATTTTTTATTCAAATCGGGAAGAAAAAAAAACTCTTACTTAGGTCAAATTATTATTTTGTTTACCACAATGAACATTTCTTATTATCATGTTTGTTAACAAAAATACAAACAATCTGAAGAAAAGGTAAGAACATTGATGTCAAACGAATATGCATCTTCATTCATTCTGATTTTTTTTTTGTGTATGTCAAATCTACGACTTAGTCTCAAAACTACATGTTGTGGTCTTTCTTTTGCGCATTGCATCTGGAACATCTCGTTTCAATAACCAGCAGTAATCAGCCATCATGATGATGTTCCACATTCCCTGATACATCTTCTTCATTTTCCTGATGTCTTGATGAAACCTTTCTCCTTGTTTTTGCGGACGGCACCGACATTTTCAGAGAGATACTCAATATGTGAGTGTAAGAAATGAACTTTCAAGCTCATATAACAACCCAACTCTTTGAATTTGTCGAGTGTTATTGACAATATTTGCCTAATTTGGTTTCTTGTTGCTTCCTAAAAGTTTGTCAATAACATTTTAAAAGACAATCCACGCTTCTTTTTCAACTTTCCTCATTGATCTTTTGAACTATTCATCCGAAGTCAATTTCCTAATCTGAGTCCCAACAAAAATCCGTTCTTTAAGTTTCGCTTCTGAAAGAGCTGGGAACTGCCCACAAAGATACTTGAAACAGTCTCCATCTTTGTCTAAGGCCTTTACAGATTGCTTCATCAAGCCCAGTTTTATGTGAAGGTAATAGGACTTTCTTTGTGCCAACCAAACTTTCACGTTCAATGTTTTTCGATCCTGGTATCAGGCTGACTGTGTGGCCATTGCTTCTTTATCCAGTGCTTATTTCGTGCTCTGCTGTCCTATTCACACAAAAAACATGGAAACTCTGTATAACCGGATTGTTGACACAACAACATACAAAGGACTTTTAAGTAGTCAACCATGTTCTTTGTATGTGACCATATTAAGAAGTTCGAGATTTCCGTATGACTTCTTTTGGAGGAATCAATGAACAATCGCCACTCACTTGGTTCATAGACTGTAGCTCCAAGCATCGGTATTAATTCAGCATTATTCTTGCAATAATTTGTTTGTTTGTTTTGAATTTTCGCCCAAAGCTACACGAGGGCTATCTGCGCTAGCCGTCCCTAATTTAGCAGTGTAAGACAAGAGGGAAGGCAGCTAGTCATCACCACCCACCGTCAACTCTTTTACCAACTAATAGTGGGATTGACCATCACATTATAACGCCCCCACGACTGAAAGGGCGAGCATGTTTCTTTACAACAAACTTATCACAAATATAACAGAATATGTTTGGGTCATTTACACAACTTCTTGTTGCCATAGTAATGAATAAGTAGTATTGAAAAGAAAAAATAATGTCACAGTGCACACACAAAGAAATACTATCCAGAAATGAAACCTCATGTGGCCTGTTAACCGTTTACATACTAACAGTGTGTTTCTCGCGAGTTCTAGAACGATCAATAAGACTCTCACGTCGCAATTGGTCTAGAGAAGTCTATAGGCATTCGTTGTCAACATTTTAAGCATAACAAAATGTGACCCGATTTCAATGAAAATGATTCACTTATTTAAAAGTAC